TTGTGTTGTATTGTACTACTACTGTAATGTATTGTAAACGGCAATTCCAATACATGGTAAATCTCAGTAGGCTGGAAGAGAAAGGATAAAAGGATAACTACTGTTTTTGTCGTGTACTGTCAAGGTGTTGTTGTTGTGTACTCCAGCAGGTTTTCAGAAGCAGTAAATCACATGGGAGGAGATTGGCCATCTCTCTCCTGCAGAGCAGCTCATGGAATCGAACCACACGCCTCTGGGATTACAGCACAGCTTCTTACCACTAGGCCACCATAGTTATTACATTATAAAGAAGTCAGAATTTAAAGGTTGGACATGAAGTGTTAGTCTCCTAGGGAATTCCTGGGTGGTGCTAACATGAAATCACTTGGCTCCTGAACAAAAAGTTGGACGCTCAAGTTCACCCAAAGGCACCCTGGAAGGAAGGCCTGGTGATCTACTTCCAGCCACTGGGAACACACATGGAGCACGGCTCTACTCCGGCACATAGAGTATTATCATGAGTGGAGCTGACTCAACCAGTAACTGGTTCTAACTGTTCCTGAAATGCTGTAACCTCAGGGTTACACAAGGACGTCAGTGTCACCCTACATAGCCACTGGCTTGTGAATCATCCCTCTGCATTTCCCACTCAGCCATCACTGAGCTTTGCTTGAATGCTTCTAGGAATGGGGTGCTCACCACCTCCAAATGCCAAAGCATTGCTAAGACTTTGTCATCTGCTGTAGTTAGAGGCCACAGAAATCAATGTCCCATAAAAAAATCTGTGACCTCTCCCTGCATGACCTCATCCCTCCCACTAAGTCATGGCTGGAGGGAAAGGTGGGTCTAAACCACGTTACTATTGTCTCCTGCACAAGGAGAGGAGACTTGGGGAGAGTAAGCAGGAGAGCTTCTAGGATATGTTCCCTCTTCCCATCCACTACCCAGGGAAGCCTGCAGGGGCCCAAGGAGGCTGCACGCACCGTCCTCACAGTGGGTTCCACTGACACCTGGGGGGCAGCGGCAGGCCCCTGTCATGGGGTCACAGGTCCCGCCATTCTGACAGCTGCAGGAGGAGCTGCAGTTCTTCCCAAAGGTGTCTGGAGGACACGCTACAAAGGGGGACATGAATCAGGGTCAGTTGCTGCAGAAAGACTGTGAACCCAGAGTACCCGATAGAGAGCGACATGTCAAACTACCTTCCTAGTATCCAAGTTAACCAGTTCAGGAGCTGCTACCAGAGCAACAGACATCTGCTCTTGTGCCTCCAGGACAGACATCATTAATCGATCACTGCATGCTCATCTGCTAAGTTCAACACAGCAAGGACCCTGCTCTATCAACATATTCAAAAAGACGATAAACTTTTGCAAACAGCTGGTCCTATTGCCCTTAACATCAAACACTAAATATAGTCTGAGAGAGCTGAGCAGGGCATGGGAAAAGCTCGATGTGGAGGAGCAGGCTTCAGGGAATCTGAGCCAGAGTCACTGTGCCCACACAGGATGTGGGTGCGACAGGTAACAAGTGCCTGAACCAGATAAGCCCTCCGTTAGGTACACTTCTGAGACACCCCTTATCTCCTGGTCACCCCATTTTCCTGATCACTGCCAGTTACATAGTTGTTGGCTTGTTGGTGACCCCATAGGTAGTGGCACTCTTGAACAGCGAACACCCAGCCTTGATGTCCTTAGGCTACAGAATGGACAATGATGGGTACTTGCAAAATGCAGGAATGAATGCATGAGAGAATGAGCGAGAAGGTGAATGAATGAATGAGTAAATGAATGAGTGAGGGAACTAATGGATGATGCATGACAGAATAAGTGACTCATGCATGAATGAGTGAAGCAGTGAGTGGACCACTGGGAGCCCCTCCCTGCCCAGGGCTGATGGGAGGAGTCAGCATGAATGGGGCCATGGCTGCCTGCAGGTCTCTGCTTGGTGTGTCCCCATTCCCATCCCCGCCTCAACTCACTCTGGTTGCAGATGAGTCCAGTCCAGCCTTCGGGGCAGTCACAGCCGTCCAGGCCCGGCAGGCAGGTCCCCCCATTGCTGCAGTCATCACAGGTCAGGCTGCAGTCTGGGCCGAAGGAATCGTCCAGGCAGACTTGGAGAGGGTAGGCAGGTAAAGAGTGTCAGAGAGTGACCCAAGCCTCCATGGACTCCGGCCTCGGGCCAGGCAAGGGGGAGAGCCATGTAGATCTGTATCTGGAAACACCTAAACTCAAGCCTCCTGGATCCTGGGGCTACTCTGGTCCAGCTTAAGCAGATGCTGTGTAAACCAAGCAGTTGCTTGGCCCCACTGGGCCCTGGTCAACAGGACATGGCTGGATGGAGCCCTGGCCTTCAGAAGGATCCACCACCCTGCGAGCAGAGCCCCTGGGCTGGGCGCCACCCTCACCAAACTTCTCCGCCAGCGTATGTTCTCCCCGTGCCTCCGCCTCCTCCTCATCAGCCATGCCGTCCTCCTCGTCCTCAAAGAGCTGGGTCAGCTCGTCCCGCAGCACCGCGATGTGGGGCAGGGGGCGCACAAACGGCAGCTGGCCTTCCACGTCCACCACCGGCTCTTCCAGCACTGGGAACACAAGCTGCTGAGCCCTGCTCCCCACTCCCAGCCCAGGCCCCTCCGCGCAGCCCACCCCAGGGTGAGCCAGCCCCTGCCCTCACGGCCACCTTCTCCGCGCCAGGTCACAGAGCCTTCTCACTGGCCTGGTGGCACTGCTTCCGGAGCAGGCCCTGGAGACCTGGCCCACCTCACCTGCAGCAGTCAGCCCAACTGTGGTGCAGGTATGTCCTGACACACAGCTAGGACTTGGAGGAATGGAGGGGGTGATGGGTGGGTAGGGTCTATTCCTTCTGGACTCTGCACAACATGGGATGGGGTCACATAGGTTGTGGCCCCTTCTTTCAACTGGGAATGGAGACTTGGACCACTGAGACCCCTCACCACCACCTGGCTCAGTCAGATTGACTTGTATGGGCTGCCCCCTTCCTCACACACCCCCAGTGCTCATGGCAAGACGGAGGCCACCCAGACTCTAAGAAAGAGCAGGAGTTAAAGGAAAAAGAGTATGCAGAAATCAGTGATGTGGGTGCACTGGGCACAGACCCAGGAAGGAAGGAAATAGACCAGAGTGGGCATGGCGGGGACTCACGAGCACAGCCCCTGCGGTCTTCAAGCAGCCGGAAGCCAGATGCACAGGAGCACTGGAAGGAGCCGGCCAGGTTGGTGCAGTGATGCTCACAGCCACCGTGGCCAGCAGCACACTCGTCCACGTCTGCGGGCAATCATGGGACACTGTAGGCCATCCCCAATACTAGGGACACGGGCTGGCGCTGCCCACCCTGGTTCACTGTGGGGCTGATTTCAGGTGGCCAAGCCACAGGTGGGCAGCTCATCTCCACTACCCTCCTAAGCAAGTCACGACAGTGGACACGCTGTCCCACTAGGTCAGGCTGGGAGCAGTCAGGGCACAGCTGCAGCCCCATAAGAGAATGACAGCGGTCACAGGGCAGCACAGCTTTGCATCAGCAGGGCCTCAGCCTGAGAGGCGTGCATGTGGCGGGCAAGGCCTGGTGCACACAGCTGCGCCGCCAGCCTGGGCTGCTCCCACCCACCACCCCGGCCAGGCGCTCACCCTCACAGCCGCAGCCGTCAGTGCTGAGCCGGTAGCCCGCGTAGCAGCTGCATTCGTAGCCACCAGGGGTGTTGGTGCAGACCTGATGGCAGCACGGCGAGTCTGCGCAGTCATCCACATCTGCGGGCGCACAGTGGGAGCAGCGGGTGTTGGCACTGCAGATGCACACCACCACGCAGGCCCACCCCAACCCACACCACCATGCAGGGCCACCCCACCCC